ATCACACCGATGCTTAGTGATCTCTTGATAATCAAAAGCTAACAAGCTTTGTGCGGAAGTGGATATGAAGGTGGGATGGAAGGTGGTGGATTTGATTGACTCACTCAATCTGATGATGATAGACTCTCTCTATCAGGTGATGGAACAAACTACTTGAATCACACAAATAATTTAATCCAAGAATTCTAATGAACAATGTGAATCACACACAATATTCAAAAGAAACAACTCTTACAAAGAACTCTCTTTGAAGAAAACGAAAATGCTTTTTACATAAGATTGAATGGTGATTTACAATGAAGAAAAAGATGAGCTTATATAATGCTCTACACAAGTCTAAACCAAAGTTCTAAAAAAAGCTAAAGCAAGAAAGAAATCACAAACTAATTGCAGAACTAGCCGTTTAAATCATAATGACCAAATCTCGGCCAAATAAGGTAAATGGAGCTGTGCTTGAGTCTTGACAACTTGGGTGCGTAGGAATTGTGTCTTGGGACGTCCAGATTCAGTGAATGAAGCTCCAAAACGCAGCATCTTAGAAGGAGCCGTTGGAGAGTTATTCCTCCAAGTGTGAATACATCCGGAAAAGGAAAGTGTACAAACATGAGGATCCGCCTGATCCTGTGGTTTCTAGAGCATGGTAAGACGTTTTTAGACTCCTCTAAATGTCTAAGGAACTCCCTTGGTCGCCAAACTATCAATGGTTATATGGTCTTTAGTGAGAAGATTGGTCCGATGTTGAACGAGATTGCTTTAAAAAAACCAACAATGGTTTTCAGTTCACCGTCTTCGATTTCTACAACGCCGTTATGCGTAGGATTGCGACAAGCAAGAGTACTAACGACCGTAAGTTGTCGTCATCATCATAATTAATAATCACTAACTATTAATTGTTGCATTTTTAGGAAAATTTCAGTGTCGCATATTATGATTATCATTATCAAAATTTTTTACCAAGTACAAAATTGCAAGCACAAAAAAAAAAAGAAACAGTTACCAAACGATACGTAAACCGTACGTGAAGATCATATAATTAACTTCAATTATTCATGTTGAACCGTAAGGTTTTACGTGACGAACTCATTGTGTTGCGGGGTAGGGATTCATTTTGCGTTTTCTTGATAATGTTTACTGTATTCTGCGGGTTTTGTATCTTTTGCGTTTGTATCATTCTGTTTTTATCTCATTGCAGTTGATATTTTTGGATCATGTGGCATCGTTACTCATCTTTCCCTTTTGTGACTTCTTTTTCTAATTACTTGTTTATTTTTTCTTTTGATTTTAAAATTCTGAAGATAGTGTTCTTCGATCTTGTGTTATTGTTTATGCGTTATTCTTCGTTGATAATTGATCAAAGAATTTTGTTGTTTTGACAGTGTAGGTGTCTAACTCTTAGGGCAAGTTTATCAGAGATATTCATATGGATTTCTTGAAGAATATTAATGTAACATCCCGACTTTTGGTTAACCAAATATTGGATGTTACCAGTTCCTAATTCCGGTTTTATTAAATTAAACCATCTATATTTCCTTTTCTTTTTATTTCCTTTTGATTTGGGTTTTTCCTAATTTCTTTCTAAGAGCCCATTAAGCCCAACCCATCTATTTGACCTCTATATAAATACCTAATTAAATCCCTAAAACCCTCATTAAGCTCCTAATCAACCCTAGCCACCTTTTTCCTCTCTCTTTCTCTCCTCCTGCGCCGAGCTGCTCCCTTCCTCTCTCTCTCTGCGTTTTCTTCTCCTTCTTTCTCTCTCTTGGACGTGTCTCTCTCCCTCCTAGCCGCGGCCGCCACCATCCTCCAAGCCTCTCTCGCCGTCGAAGCTTCCTTGCCTTGCTGTGATGTCTGCGCCGCCTCCTTCTCCTTTGGGTGAGATGGGAGCTGATTCTGATGGATCTCCTCTTAGATCTCCTTCTCCCTTGCCTCCTCCTCCTGTTTCTCAGCCTTCTAAGCCAAGGTGAGGGCTCTGTGGCTTCATCCTCTCTTACATATGCATGGTTGTCTTTTAAGTGGTCTTTTCTTAGATCAGGCTTATATCTGCTTGTTAGGGTTGTTAGAATTGTTAGGACCTGGATCTGTGTTGCCTGTTTGTTGATGTTGCTGGTTGCTGGTGGAATGAGATAATTAACCTGAACTTGGATCTAAACTTATTGGACTTTAAAATATTGATTGAGTGATGTTAACCTGATTAATGTTCCTTTTGTTACAATTGGTATCACCGAAAGTGCATCTTAATAATGGAAGGACCTTTAAGAAACGGATGATTCTTTGAAATGGATGATTGTGCATATAGATCTCTGATAGGACCCCTGGCTCCTGGAGGCAGGAGTCAGTGTTGTTTGTTGGCTATCGCTGTCGTGTGAGGCACGGCTAGAGCCATCGCTGGAGTGGATTAGCGATCCACTGTTTATTGAGCCGTCCAAAGGGACCGCTGGGTACAGCTTTCTGGTGAGACCGCTATGAGCAGCCGTCTGAGTGACCGTTAGTGTCATAGCCTGTCTCGGTGATTGCTGTGGATCAGTCTGTGTGACTGACAGAGTGATCCTGACTAATGGGTATGGTAATAGGCCAGCCATTGGATGGGATTATTCTGGTTGCCTTTCCGGGTGAGGCATGGGGGCCCATGTGGCAGCCCACTACTACCGCGTCCAGGGACCCGTTTCTTGTGTAGTTGTTTGTAGGGTTACCCTTGAATGCTGTGTGATTGATTGCTAGGAATGAATTGTCTATATATATAAGTAAATATATCTATATATGTGTTGCTTGGGCTTGCTTTAAGATTAGATCTCTTAAAACCAATTTATGCTAGTTTGATGATGTTGTGGGCCTCTTTAAGGTCCACCCTCACTGAGTAATCCCAATTACTCACCCCTCATCTCCCCTTGTCTTTCAGGTTTAGTAGAGAGATCAGCCTAAGTCTGTGTTGTTGATTGTTACCTGGGCGTTTTCCTGGCAATCCTGTGTGATCACCAGATCGGACATCCTACCGGACGCGGTTCGATAGTCGACCTAACATACCCGGTTCCCCGCTCTCTTAGGAGCCTGTGATAGGGATGTTACAATTAAAATAATAAAAAGCACTGTAATTGTAGAAAAAGAAGCACAAATATTATAGAAACCCATATAATCTCACAAAGCAACAAAAGGACGAGAAAATAGGAGAGAAACAGAAAATGTTTGAACCAATCACAGCCTGCCACACCTAAATAAGGATCGATCCTTAAAATCCTTAAATAAGGATCGATCTTTGTATTTAAACCTCTGTTTTAATTAAAAAAACCTATTAAATGTCAAGAAATTCAGGAAGAAACCATTGATAAACCTGGTCTTAGGATATGTGCTCGGTGTATACATCGTTTCTGCTCTAACGAGGTATGGTTTCTTGGCTCTTGTGTTTGTGACTTTGTATCTTTGTGTTTTTTTCGTACTGTGTTTACCTCTTCGTGATGCCTGCATGAAGCTGAGAAGAACAAGAATGGAGCTGCATATCATTTTATGTGGAGAATCTATGATGACCTGAAGAAGTTCTTCTGATCAAAACATTCACTGTCTAATGTCTCTTTGTTACCATGTGTTTTTTTTTTAAAAGACGTGAACACCACTACTAAGACTTTTTACATCTTCCACCAGTCTTTTATATGCATCAAAGTAGACTGGCCAATGTCTTTGGACCACGATTTTTTTCTGTATAGAATCATTAAATAAGAGCAAACCAGGGAGATGGCATGTAAGTATTAGACTTTGCAAGAAGCCAAATTAAGTAAACAGATGAAGAAATGGAGGATGACACGAGGCATGGAAGTTTTAGACTTTACATATTCTGTTTTTATTGGGTCTATACTGTTTTCTATGTGAGCAACGAGGCATTGAATTTGAAAAATTATATATTGCAAATGTGTTTCAGATGATTTGATTTTGATTAAAATGAAAAAAAAAATGTCTTACAGAACCTCTGAGTAATCAGAAACAGGGATGAAAAAGAACCAATCGCCTCTAACCAATTCCAGATAGGTAATTGGTGGATCCGCTTCATAAGGAAAGCCAGCCGCAACATTACATTGACGTCTATTCCAACGCACTCAATCTCTAGAGGTCTAATTTATGTGACTGTATTTATTATTAGTCTTGAGATTTTTGATCAACTATTAAATCCTTAATGAATTTATCTTAATGCATTTCACTAACAATTTATTCGATTTGATCATTTAAGTTAAACCAGTTTTACTCACTTTTTGTCGATTCAGTCATATAAGTTAAACGTTTTTTAGTCAATTCGATCGATTAATCCATGTTGGTGTTTACTGTATTGTTTTTTTCCAAAAAGATACAACACTCATAATTTTAAAGAAATTACGGTAATTAAGAATTTAAATAACAATGGCCAAGATCGTTTAAATAACAATTATAAAGATGCCAAGACCATAATGATGAAAGAATTAAAATTCCGATAGCAAAAAAAAATCGACTAACAATTCTAGAAAAGTGTAAATATTAGAAATAGGGACAACCACAAATATATTATTTAAATAATATTACAAATTTCTTGAAATCAAAAACTGTATAGTTACAAAATTTATTATACTACCTTTAATGAAAATGATTATTTACAAATCCATATCGATTATAATTTCTATTCAAATATGGGAAGAACAAAACCGGAAGAAGAATAAGAAAAAATAGAAAGAGAGAGGAAGAACGAAAAGAAAAAATATTGAAAGACAATGATTTTGAAAAAGACGAAAAAAAAATGAAAACAAAATCATGTAAAACTTTAAAGTTTTAAATTATCCAAACAAACTTTTAATGTTTTAAAGTCCTAAATTAACTCCTAAATCTCAAAGCACAATTTTCATCTCTTTTGTTCATGCTATATTTATTTTTTTTAACTAGCAAATTGTAGCTTTTTATTTTCTTAAAGTCACAGTTTATTATTAAAAACCAAAAAAATTTAACATTTTTGTACTAAAGTAACAGCAATAAATCACAATTGCAACCAAACAACACCGTAATAATTTGATGAAACATTTTTGTCCACGCAAAAGCGGGCCAAACACCTAGTTAACACAAAAGCAAAGAGTAACTAAATACATACAAAGTGCAACTGGATCAAAAATCTGGGAAGCAAGCCTTATCGCACTAATAATAATATTATACACGCACACACATAGAGAAATGTTTAGAGGAAGTGAGAAAATGTACTGTTCATGAGAAAATTAGCCATAATGCGATGAGTCTTCTGTGTTGGATGAAATGAGTCCCAAAACACATACTTATCTGCATTTGTACATGTGAATGGGTTATTTCTTTGGCAGCTATATCCCATCTCAAACATCCCCGTGGCGCAGCAAGCCGCTGCTGCAACCTCGAACCCAAAAGAGGAAGGGTTCTTGATGATTCTCATAAATGGTTCATATGGATTTGAGAAAACGAGGATGGAACCAGGAAGCTCTTTGCTCAGCTTCTCAACAAGCTTCTCAAGCTTGCTGTTGAACTGGACCGCAACGTCGTTGAAGCGTCCAACGCACTCACCTCCCGTGCCAATGTTGGTGGCTCTCTCTAAAGGCATGCATCCCATTGGTGGCAATCCACCTAGCGAGATCTTCCTAGCGCCAAGCCCATATAACTTCTTCACAAAGTCTTTGGCGATTCCAGCTAGGAAATCTTGGTAAAGACCGACAGAGTATTGAGAAGAACGTCCAGGAAAGGCGAAGTAGTTCTCGAGGAAATCGTTGGTCCCTACGCTTATAAGGTAGAGAGAGTTGGTTATGGTCTCTGTGGCTCGGTCTCTTCCTTGGTATGCTTTTAGTTTTGTTTGGTATTCTTTGTAGTATTCGAGTTGTCTCCATAGAGGTAGTACCGACTAGAATCGTCATCATCAATGAAATGTAATCAGGGATAAATTGTAGGAAAAGCATCCAATTCCAATTTATAATGAAAAAAGAAAAGAAAAGAAAGCATCCAAATATAACATCTTTCAATAAATAATGATCACAATTTTTTATTTATTCAAATTTATATTTACTGTTTATAAACAAAAAAAAAGATTCATCCATTCGTATTATAGGTGTTATTTTTTTTAAATGAAAAATACACTCCCCCTTTCTTAATAATAAATGTTTCACAAAATGAATGTTTTGTATTTCCTACGTTAAATTTGTGTAACATTTCATATTTTCTCCGTATTAATTAGAGTTAAATAACTAATACGCTTTAATGATAGAATAAATGTATAATAGATGTTGTAAAAATGTTCTTAATTTGTACGCAAAATCGTAAGCAACTATGATATATATAAACAAAAATTATATATCTATATATAATTACATTTTACCAATAGAATACACAGAATTATTTCTTATTATTTATTATTTTTCTTATAAAAAAAATTTATATTCTATATATCATGAATCATAAATATCCATAAAGACTTGTACCATACCAAATAGTATATGTCATAAATACAGGGGAAAGAAAAGTCCGTACCAGAACATCAGAAGTGGCGTTGTCATAGCCTGTAGCAGCAGAAGCAAAGGTGACACCTGTTGCAAAATCTGAAATGTTGTAAGAAGGATCCAAGTATGCCGGAACTATCGGTTTAAGCCCTACAGCCTCCGACATAAAATCCGTCGCGATCTTTCCGTTACAAAATCGACCGGTCGGCTTCCCACCAACAAAGTCCCGTCCATATGGCTCAAAGTTGCTTCTGGCGACCGTTGGGATATAATTGTTGTTCCCGGCATCAACGGTTGAGTCACCAAACACGATGATCGCTGATATCTTACCAGCGAACGTTAGTGCCGGCAACATAGTTAGCATGAGGAAGAGAATAAGTGTGAAGAGACTTTTGAGGTGTTCCATAGTGTTTTTTTTTTAGGTCTTGTGGTTTTGATTGTGATTGTGTGATTCCATGAGCTGTCTTTATAAGAGAACATGAGTGTTTGAAAAATGTGGTTTCATTGAATAAAGAGAGGTTTGTTGTGTGTTTCAATTAATGCTGAGAAATTCTGGTGAGACATTATTATTTTCAGCACGATTTGTTGTTTGGTCGTTTGCCGCTCAATCAATACTACTCTTTTACCGTTGGACTTCTTTTGTTGTTCAATATTCTCAAAATGTCTTAGTTATATGGTTAGGGATATATGCCCAAATTTGGACATATTGATTAATCTATTCTGAAGTTAGGTTTCAGTGTACGAAAGGAATGATCTGTAGACCCTAAATGATATATTTATTGTGAATTAGGGTCTACATAATTTATTCCCATCAAATCGAGTTGGTTCAATCTCTAAAAAATTTCTAGATAATGTTTTGGGTTACGGAAGAAAAATATAAAGAAAGTATAAAGTTACTGAACAACCAACTCATGGAATTGGGTGTTATGGTAACTGGTAAGAATACTTTTTACTGCGATTTTAGTCATAATTGACCGATTGAAGTGACAATAATACCAAATGTTTCATACATTAATCTAATGTTTTCATTTTGCCCACCGTGAGTTTATTAATAACCATATACTAATGGTAAAAACAGAGGAAACCAGAGCCACTTTGGGCAAAATAAAAAGTAACATTCATAATCGGAAGGAGAAAGATATGTTATGTAAAAGCTTCCCCAAATTACAGTCTTGTAACCAAGTTGGACCTCATCTTGCAATGTTATGATTGGATTAGACAATCCCACATGACACTTTTTGTTTCTCGAAAGATAAATAAGCTTTAAGGTTCTCTACTTCAAATTAGCACTTCACAAATTCTCCTCGAAGAGGTTTGTTGGCATACCTATATGGCTACATCAAACGTCATGTCAATCATCGTAATTCTGTATGTCAAGGGTTAAACTATTCATCACGTAAGTGGGTGGGAACGAAACAGATATTTAGTAATTTTAAGATATCCAGATCCAAATTCGCCAAATCCGAGTTTTAGTTATATGTATTCGAATTCGTTTTTTCCAGATATCGAGACTTTATATATCCACCTAAATATTAAGATATTTGTGGATATATGGATCCGGATCTTAATTTTTAAGAAAAGAAAAATACGTTAAAATATTAAAAAATTATAAAATAAAAGTTTATATAGTATTTTGTAAAAAAAAATCTGTAATGATAAAAATATATTTTTTTACTACTTTAATGTATAAATTTCAAGATATTTTAAAAAGTATATATAAAATAGAATCTATTATATAAAGACTCAGTTGAGTCTCACAAACTTGACACATCAGCACTCATTTTTATGACACATCAGCTCATTTATTTGTTATTAAAAAAAACTAAATTAAAACTATTTATTTTCATAATCATTTTTCTTGTAATTTGATTATTTATTATATTGACTTTTTAACTTCAGCTTTTAATATCTCATAATCTTAATGACGCTTCAAACATTGTTAATATAAAGATTTTTTTTACATGTTTCAACGCATATATGAAAAAAAAAAGAATTAAAATAACTCAAAATTTTCTGATAAATCTCCAATCTACAACTTTAAATTGTAAGTTATGCAGGTTTTTATGTAGAAGTCTCCGACAATAAATGTTATCCATAGATCCACAGTTTTAGATTTATTTCTTGATTACGGTCAGAGACATTAACGGTAACACTCAATTATGTTCGTTTAAAGGAGAAGCAGAATTTTGTTCGAGAATTCTATAAATAGTGTGATCAAGAACTCTCCTTTTGTGATCAAGAACTCTCCTTTTTTTTACTTTACTGTTTGAATGTTAATTTGCTACATACATCACAATTATGGTGACTATGAACTTATGAAAGATGATTAGTTACTCTGAGAATTACTGATAAACTTTTTTATACCTTGCTTATTTGGGTTCAAAAGAGAAATTTGCTACTAATTTAATTTTTCTTACTAAACATTTTTGACATTATGATCAAAAAAAAAAGAAAAAATGCTTATTATGACTTTTCATATTTCGGTTATTAGGGAATCTGTAGGGATTCGCTTAATGGAGGGAAGATGATCAATTGGTTAGCGTTATATTTCCAAGTTGATGATGCAGTGATGTTCTTAACATGGTTTAGATAAAACGCTATAACAAATCATTGAATGCGATACATGCATGGAAATCAAAGTAAACAAGCATTGGAAACAAGCAAAGAAAAAAATGGAACATTTGTTTAGGTAAGTTAAAGATAATTAACACGCACTGAATTTAGTAAACTTGAATAAGCTTTACAAAAAGGTAAAAATTCGCTAATGGTTTGTTCTAAGTTGAATTTAATTCACATAACAGAAAAAGAAGAAGTCTTTACCATAAGATGGGTGGTATAATGATCATGTAAGCTATTCTGATTTGAAGAACTATTTGATGCCGTGATTTTTTTTGTGTTTGAATAATTATGAGAATTATCTTACTACTTTTGATACCAGTAAAAGAAAATATAGACTACATATCTAGATTTGATGGATTCTCATATCAGATTTGTTTATGATGTTCCAAAAATAAGATGATGTAGTCTTAAAAAAAGAAATTAATGGTTTTTAGTAGAGGAAAGTTTAATAAGCTTTTTGAAGACAAAAAAAAAAGCTAATATAAAAGCCAACCAAAATAAGAACACCTTAAGAAAATATGTAAAAAACTAACAAAAAACCAATAAATCTATCAAAAAAAAAGAGCCAATAAAAAAGCTAAGTAAAACAAGAACACCTTATAAAAATAAGTAAAAAACTAATTTTTTCTACATGAATATCCAAAAACAACCAAAAATCTAAATTTAATTTAGGTTTTAAGCATTAGATAAATAATAATTAAAAAAAAATCCACGCATTTGCGTGGATAATCATCTAATCTATTATATAAAGAGTGGCTTGTGTCTCACAAACTTGACACATCAGCACCCCCCTTCTTTAACACCTTAGCTCTCTAGATTTTAATTTAAAAAAAAAAGAATGTAAAAAATCAGAGTAAGTAGCAGCTTCTTAGCCTACTCTATTTAAATCAACTAGGTCAAAATGAATTTAATTAACAATGAATATTCCAAAGCTATTTTCGATGCAAATTTCTCTTCTTCTTATTAATTGTTGGTTCTTCACAACCAAGAGTTTAGAGCTTATTTTGCTTAGTGTTCTGTTCATGACGAAAAGAGAGGGAAATGGTCGCTTATATTGTAAACAAATTAGTTTTTATACTTTAGTACAGACAGAAATTAGCTACTCGAATATTCTGCTAATAAAAAATAATTATATTTTATTTGTTCTATCCGTTCACCAGCACAACTTGTGCTATATTGGATTTGTTTCTCTTGTGAATTGCAGTGGTGTTATTATCGCTGAAGGCATTCTTAACGCCAGAAAGTCTCTTACGAAGGTACCCCTTCACGTTTGTTTTTTATCTGTTTTTAGACTATATAAATAGAAGTTTTCCCCTAAAGTTTGGTATTATTTATTTCTAATTGTCAAGATTATTTTGATTTTGGAGAACATGACTTGTCAACATTTGGTTCTTATTTCATTTTCGCATCAGCTTTGTTCTTTACATATATTGAAGGAACACTCCCGTTGTATGTCCAACTTTCCCGTTGTGGTTGTGTTGGAGTTTTGTACCCATTGCTACATCGCTTTGGCTATTGCCTGGATTAGAAAGAATCTATCATACTCACGTAGTCTAGAAAATATAATCGGTGTTCATAAATGAAGTCTACATTGTGAAAATGCGAAACTTGGTTTGCTAAATGCATTATTTATGGAAATTTCCAAAATAAAAAGATGGTAATAGAGAAGGTAAGTTAGTTCATGAGAATATTTCTATCGTAATGTTGAAGAACCAAAGGATCTGAAGTTTGTAACAAGTTTGAAATAATCTGCCATTCTTAAGGATTCAAATCAACAAAGGTTTTCTTAGATTCTTGCTCATTCTTAAGGATGACTTGATTCTTTCTCATAGAGACTTACCAAAGCAGTTTCAAAGGAGTTAGATATTCTCACAATTCTTTGCTCATCAGTTCGTGTCACAGGGTGTACTGATCATCCATGTGATTTATAATTCAAAGTTAAGTCTAAATAATTAAACCACTTAACACTTCACATTACATACAGAACACTTCATCATCTACAAAATAAATAAAAAATTATAATCCATTATTCAATAAACGTTTTGTGAAAATCTCTTTGGGAGAAAAAGCGTTTGGATTTTATAAAAAAGTTGTCAAAATCTCTTCTAAAATTTACATAATTTTGGTTTGAGTACAAAATTTATTTTTTTTTACCATGGAATTTCTAATATAAAGTTAAAAATACCAAAATGAACAAAGCTAAATAATGAAACTACATTACAACAAAAATTTATATAAAGACCCCGCGCATATGCGCAGGTATTCTCCTAGTTTTTTTTTAAAGATTCAGATATGTATACGGATATCCGGACTTATAATTTTACTATTCAAATCCGGATCTAGTTTACTAAATTTTTATTATTTAGATCTGGATTCAACCTCTTAGATATCAGGATTTCAGAGTAGATCGGAGCGAATACAGGATCAGATTTTGGATTCCGGATAATAATTCCATCCTAGTAGTATAGAAATAAAACCGTAGATCTTTTTAAACAGATAAAATCCATTCATTAATCATCATCTATACCTGTTTTCATAATTTGAAATAAAATTATTAGATGAGAAAAAAGAATGTTTATTTTTAGTTTCTATTTTCTTAGTTTTTTTTTCTCTATATTTTCTTAGTTTTATATGAATATCAAAATGTAGATTCTCAATCACAATGACAAACATAAAACAACTAAATACAGAATCGCATTCATTAAAAGATAGGATAAAGTTTTAGAATTTAGAAATCACAACTCACTATACCATTCAATTTCAACATCTAAAAAGCTAATACTCATTATCTACCATTCTTTTCTCATATATCACAATATTTTAAAAAGGAAATTGCAAACAAAAAAAATATTTGGGCTTACCAGGCCCATTAGAGTCCACCATAAACGACGGCCAACTGCTTCACCGCTGCTCACTGTTCGTCCTTAAACCTCGACAACGTCAAAGTCTTTGTCTTTGTTCTGTCTATTGTCGGAAGATGTTTCGGATTTCAAAGATCCAACTCTCTTTCTCTCTCGCAACATTCACCAAGAGATTCTCCTCATTTCAAGCTACTAAATTGGTGATCGATAAAGCGGCAATCGATGGAGAGCTGAGAGTTTTCATCGTCTCCGGCGAAGTCTCCGGCGATAACATCGGCTCTCGTCTTATGGCTTCACTCAAAAATCTCTCTCCTTTTCCCCTTCGTTTCCATGGAGTTGGAGGGTAAGCAATTGGGTTTGCCTCAACTAAGAAGATTCTGTTTAAAATTTTGATTTTTTCAATTAAAATTGTGTATGTTTGTTTCTAACATGTTGATGTTTTATATGATAAGATCATTGATGTGCAAGCAAGGAATGACTTCGTTGTTTCCTATGGAGGATTTGGCTGTGATGGGTTTGTGGGAGCTCTTGCCGCATTTGTATAAATTCCGTGTGAGTGAATTGAGTTAAATGTTTTAATACAATCCAATTTAGTCACTTTGATTTACTAGTCTAGTTTTGAGATTCCAGGTGAAGTTAAAGGAGACCATTGATGCTGCAGTTAAGTTTAAGCCACACGTTGTTGTGACTGTTGATTCGAAAGGCTTCTCTTTTCGTCTACTTAAGGAGTTAAGAGGTAAAAACACAAAATGTAAAAGAGAATCAATGCCTAGGAACAATTAAGCTCTAGTGTTAGTTAAGCTGATCCCATCTGTGAATCAAACTTGTAAGAGAGAATCAATGCCTAGGAAGAATTAAGCTCTAGTGTTAGTTAATCTGATCTCAATAGGATTAATCACCTTTTTGTGTGGTAGAAATGGAAAAATTGAAGAAATGGGAACATTATAAGTGGCCTTTGAGAGCCAAGAACTCCTGAATGGATTCTCATATACCATGTAGGACAATGGAGAAATGCTTTTTGGCTTTGCAGCTAGATACAATCAGAAGCGCTTGGAAAACTCTCCCTTGCATTTTCATTATGTTGCACCTTCGTTTTGGGCATGGAGAGGAGGAGAATCAAGACTTGGAGGTCTGTCTGAGTTCGTTGATCATCTCTTCTGCATTCTCCCAAACGAGGAAAAGATTTGTAGGGAACATGGAGTGGAAGCAACCTTTGTTGGACATCCCATTCTTGAAGACGCTTCTGAGTTTAACCTTGTATGCAATTTCTTCTTAATTACTTCAGTTTCTATGACAATCTCTCAGATTCCTTACTGCAATGTCGCTCTTTGTTGACGCAGGCGAGGACGTGGAAGCTACAAGAATCGAATCTCGAAGGCTTGAGTTTTAGCAAATACTCACTACCTTCTGGTAATAAGTTTATCTAAACGATTAACCTGTTTTTCTAATAAATTGGTTAGTGTCTACGTTTGTTGATTTCTCATTGTTCTTCTGCTGCAAGAAGACTCCATGGTCATTTCCGTTCTACCGGGGAGCAGATTACAAGAAGTTGAAAGAATGCTACCTATATTTTCCAAAGCAATGAAGCTACTCAAAGAACCGTTTCCAAGGCTAGTAACACTCATCCACGTCGCATCAAATAGTCAAGTGGATCATTACATTGGAGAATCTCTCCGTGATTGGCCAGTTCCCGCAATACTAGTCCCTAGTGGATCCACTCAGCTTAAATATGATGCCTTTAACGTAAATCTCCATTGAATCTCTCTCTCTCTTGGTGTTTTGCTCCTCTCATTGTCCGGTTTTTCCATGATAACAGGCGAGTCAAGCTGCGTTATGCACTTCAGGAACAGTTGCTATTGAGTTACAGCTTGCCCGTCTACCTTCCCTTGTCTCTTACCGAGCACATTTTCTAACAGAGCTCGTAATCCGTTACAAAGCCAAGATTCCTTACATTTCTCTCCCAAACATTCTCCTAGATTCACCAATCATTCCTGAAGCCTTGTTTCAAGCCTGCAACCCTTCGAATCTCGCCTCCATACTTGAGTAATACTTTTTTCGTTTCGCCCACCGTAACTTTATCTGGCTATCAAGAAATGGGCATGCTGATGAATTGAGATGTTGTGTGAAACTTGTAGGAGACTGCTCTTGGATGAAAAGATGAGAGAAAAACAAGTTGTTGCTGCTGAAAAGTTGACACTCCTCTTGCATCCATCAGAAAGGGGAATGAGCAGTGATTTGGAATCTCAGCGATATACACCAAGTATTCTAGCAGCTTCGACTATTCTTAGTTATGTCAAGCCATGAAGCCTGTCGCGAATAATGTTCCTTGCTTGCAAGTTGCAACACTAAACATTTTTGGTCATACATTGCATTGCTGGTTACTTAAGTAGGCCATTTAAGGACCTCCCTTGTTTATACATTAGCAGCTTATGTTGTTAACTCTATCTTAACTTATAGATACAGATATTTTCAAAAAAAAAAAACTTATAGATACATGTGCTATGTATATGTGTAGATTCTCTAATAAATTATTTTACCCATGTTTTCCTCGAGAAAAGCTTTACTTCTACAAATAAAATATGTAACCAAACTAGTGATCAACAAATTTAGAACAACCCATTTCCTTATCTAGCATCTATGTTAATGAATACACACAAATAAATAGAGTCATTGTTTTTACTCAAATAGTTTTTTGAGAAAATGGCAGGCATCAACTTGAAAGCGATATCGCTATAGGGCTGATCAGGTTGCACATCTATAAGTCCTCTAAACGTCAATACCACTGTCTCGAAGAACATTAGACTAGAGCACCAAGCTTCCTTATCTTTCCTACCAAGATCTTGCCCAGACTCAAATCTCCAGAACGATAGATGTGCTTAATGACATAATTCTGGACCGTCTCTAAATGTTAGCACAGCACCAAGAATCGTACAAACAAAACAAATGAAAAACGATGAGAACAAAACCTTGTTTTCCATTTCAGTAATAGCTGAAATCCCCGAGCTCCATAGTCTAGGCATATCCTCTAGATATGTGGAAGTTGATGGCTCTGTTCCATAAGACTCTGTCTCCCAAAATCCAAGCTGTGTGGTGAAGAAGTCCTCGGTTCTACAAGGAGAAAATCTTGGAGGTGGTGACGGCATGTAATCAGGGTAGTAACCATCATTCTTAAACGTTCGACTACTGTGTCTCTTGCTACAGACTCTGCATGCGCAGATTGAGGACCTGTGAAGTCTTGGACATCTTCAGTTTGCTGAATAGGAGATAGATGAACTGTAGATTCTGGATAAGTAGAATCAGGAACCATAGATTTTTGGATTAAAGCGGTCGAGTTAACTTCTGTTTTAGCTTCTCGAGAAGGAGACGATACAGATGCAGGTTTTTGAGTAGTTTCATCGGAAACAGAAAGATTTGGATTTAAAGCTACACAGTCCTTTCCAAAGAGGTTGCCTAAAACATCTGAGGAGCATGCAGATAAACATAGAAAGGTAGTTAACGTTCTTCAAAACAACAAAGTGTAAAAGTAGGTAAAACCGAAAGAATCACTGGAAAACTACCTGTTAAACTTTGATCCTTCTTTGACTGGTTATTCATTGTCCAGATACGTATATTAGATGAAGACAGCTTCTTTCTCTTACGAAGAGTATCAATAGGATCCTCAAGGTTTTCACTCATCTTCTTGTTCAAATTTTTTAGATCAGTATGCAACAGGTGACAAAATAACCCAATTCACAATGAAGTAGTGGAAAGTTTATTACTTTCAATCTAATACTATGTCCCCATTAAAATCACATTGCTTCCTCTTCCTTGGCCTTGCTTGTGGTGGTGGGGGACGAGAAGTTGGCTGAAGACTTGCGGTGATGGATGCATTTAATATCAAAGCAAAATAAAATTATTAAGGCCTGTTTGTTTGTTCATCTTGCATTTGCATTCAAATGATCCATTTAAATGATTCATTTGGATTATACATTTCAGATATTCTTTTCTATTTTCAGTCAGTTATTCATTTGTATTATTCATCTCAATGAACCTTTGATTGTTTAATCATTTGAATCTGAATTTACATTCAATCAAAATGCTTTTAATAAGAAAATGATTAAAATACCTCTGCTTTAATCTAATGATCATACTTTTAGTGTTAATCTTAACTCTTAATAATTATAAATTAAATCTTCATTTAAACAAAATTTAATTTTGTTTTTGGCAGAACAACATATAAATATTGACAGAAAATAGATTTTATGTTTTTGGTAGAAAAACGAAATACACATTTTGATAGAAAAATGGATTTTATATTTTTGGCAGAAAACAAAATTTTTATTTTAGGCGAAAAATAGAATACACGTTTTGATATAATAATGGATATTACGTTGTTGGCGGAAAAACAAAATTTTCATTATTGACAGTAAACATAATATAGATTTTGATTGATAACTAATTTTATGTTTTTGACAAGAAAATAATTTTTTTATTATTGTTGGAAAAATATAATATATGTTTTGACAAAAAATAGATTTTATGATTTTGGCAAGGAAACAAAATTTTCACTAACAGGGAAAATGGAATGTATGTTTTTGCGAAGAAAATATTTTTTTTTGTTTTTGGCGGGAAAGCAAAATATATATTTTGACAGAAAAATGCATTTTAAAAGTGAGGTTAGCATATTGACCCAATAAAAAAGAAAGAGGTTAGCATCTAAAATGGGAAGATCGTCGTCTAGCGACTAGCTGGTAGCATGTAGAAGAAGGACGCTAAATTATTATACCACCATCTCTTGGTAATCCCCAGCCCTAATCGTACAAATCCCCTCGAATACGACCAAATAATGAAATAAGCTTGCTCTTGAATCGTGTCTAACAAGTAACTGAGTAACCGTTGAGACTTGAGACCTTATTTCCTTTTCCTTTTTCTTAACTGAGAAAATAAATTTTAAAAATTTTAATCAGAAACAGTATTAAAAAAGGAAAAACCTTGCCATAGTAGAAAAAGGATATAAGGTCGGTTTCTTTTCTCCCTCTTAATTTTCTATATATAAACACATGCGCACACACTCAAAATCACAAAAACCATTCTCTCGAAAGTAACCCTAATTCTCATTCTCTTTCTCTTTCCAAAGTCTTAGTTACAAAAAAAAAAGAAAGAAAAAACTAAACGCCTCCTGTCTCTATCTCTTTCAGTTCATCAATCATGACAAAGGCTTCTAAAAGAATCTGCTTCATCATTATCTTCTGCCTCTTGATCACGTTATTGTCTTATGCCGCACGTACTTGTTACGAGATACATCAAAACCTTGTAAATCGTCGTTACATTGAATCTGAATTGCATAAGCTTAGCCGCAGTATCGAGAGAAGATATGGTTGATCGCCAATGAAGCCAAGATCAGTGATCTTCTCAAGATCGCCAATGAAGCCAAGATCAGTGATCAGTGATCTTCTCAGATTAGATACATGATAAGATGTTATATCAAATTCCGTTAACAATATAAAACAGAAGTTGTTTGTCTTTACTAGATGATCTATTTTCGTCTATAATTTTACATAAGCGTTTTATATTTATGGATTTAATGTCTTTGTTTTATTTTTATACAATAATTTAAAATTTTTCAATTGTTTCAATATATTCACGAGCTAGACATTGCTCAGCATGTTTCTTCTCCCCTTCCTAACAGGAACTTGAATTTAATGGTGATTAACAGTATGTATTGTCACCAAAACGAAGGAAAACTCAAAACAACTATTTCCTTCAACAAAGAGAATGTATTTGTTAATGCTTAAAACTCTACTTATTAAAAGTCAGTGGTGTCCTGGAGCTGAAGGCACTATCTTACCAATGCTTCAAAACTCTACTTATTAACCAATATGTTGTATTTGTTTGTTCGGATAATCTTGGGCTGCTTCGCTGCAAAATCTGAACTTTAAATCATAGTTTGATTCACCTTGTAAATACTATAACAGATTTATAGAAAGATTTCACTTTGTAAATACTATAATATATTTATAGAAAGGCAGCAATAAGAAAAAAAAAGAAACATGAGAATGTTTTAAACAATGAAACCATGAAGGAGCATCGACCAATTAAGAAAGAGGGAGGAGTTGATTACCAACTTAACCAGGCAAAAACTATTGCAGTTACCGGTTAGAAAAATTTATAATTCGCTAGCTATTGGGGACTTTTTTTTCTTACTCGGGTTTTGATTAATTTTGTTTATAATGTCATTAGCATAAGTCGAAGATGTGAAGTGCATCGCTTGGGCACGTGAGAGAATTTGATAATAAAAAAGTGATGGTAAACACATGCTGTTTTTTTCCGATCCTTTTAATGAGTCGAAAAAACAATGGCATCGACTCTTTGTGTGAACTTCTCTGTTCTTACATGATTCACTGATTTTACCAACCCAGCTTTGAAAACTAATAAATGTTTTGATAATTAAAAAGGATTAGTAAAAAAATGTTGTTTCTTCCGATCATTTTAATATAAGTCAAAAACACAATGTCATTGACTCTGTGTGAACTTTTCCTTTCTTGCATGTCATTGATTTTACCAACCTAACTTTTAGATAATAATCAATGTATCATATGATTATGAATATCACAGAGGGGTTTTAGTAAACTAAACAAACATTTCATCCCATCCATTACTCTTTAAGCCTACACAAACTAAAAAATGTACATTGTTTACTCTTTACGCCTCCAATAAAGAGTACACATCATCCATAACATCATCCGGAAACGCCTCCACTAAGCTAAGAAAATTTAAAAAAACGCTTTTGCACCTAAGACTCAAACAATTTTTTTTATTGTTTTTGGCATATTAAGTGTTCTTATATATTTCACATAATTACAAATAAAAAAGAAGAGTTCGGAAAAAAAAAATGGCGATTCACCACGTATATTCAGCCTACGCGTTAATCTTTGTCAGCATCACCACCTTTTGTTCTCAACGGTGTACATCCCAGAAAAATAGATTCCCTGAAACATCAACATATCCCTCTTCGTTTGGTCTACTTGCAAGCCAAAACAACTGGAGATATCATCACACATCTCTCTCCTAACAAACCAATAGCTTTCTTGGTCAACGTATCAATTGGCAACCCACCAGTCATACAACATCTCCACATGGACATGGGCAGTGATCTTCTACTACAAGAAAACAGGAAATTAATAACTACGTTTTGCTACTAAAAACGTAGTCGCTAAATTTTGTGACTATCCAACGACTGATTAACGACGAACTTACGACTGCGGACAACCAGTCCCCAAAACGTCGTGAACTAGTGACTAAAACTGTCGTCACATATTAGTCGCTATTTAACGACGAATTAGCGACTAAAATGTAGTCACGATATATCAGTCGCTAAAAAGTCGGTAAATTTGCGATTAATTTGCGACATATGCGGCTTGTCGGTATAATTAAACACGTGTAATACGTTTTTAGGTTGGTGTACCGCTTTTTAGCGACAAACCGTTAGTAGTCGCAAAATTTTCTATATATTGAGATCCCATTTTTGTTCCTCCTCATTAGTAAGTGTGCTACCATTTTGTTAGTTGCACTTTATAAATTCCCTTTAGTTGTATTTCTTACAAAGAAAGGTGAAAAAAGAAAAGAGGTAAGAAATCATCATTACTATAAAAGAAAGAGTGCCTCTCGAGGGGCTGCCACGTCCGATGTGAGAAGCTTCCTGAGGCCGCCACGTCATGTAATGACAAACCAATCAGGTTATGTGGTTTAGGCAGGTCATTATCCACGTGTTGAGAAGCGTTTAATCAGATGCGTCGTCGTTTGGGATTGATCTGTGTGAGTTCATTGTGCGGGTCGGGCCGTTGAAAGCGAGTGTGGTGTCGGTGGTGGGAATCGTTGAAGGTCCTCTCTGGTTTGCATTTGATTCCGCTTACCGGAAAGCGAGTGTGGTGTCGGTGGTGGGAATCGTTGAAGGTCCTCTGTGGTTTGCATTTGATTCCGCTTAATTCCCCTTCGAGTTTGTTTTTATTTTCCGGTTTTAATTGAAACGTCATTCTGCTTCTCTGCATTTGTTCGACTGAGTTCGGACGGTTAGCACGCCGCTGTTGTGGGGGAAACAATTTGTGTCGAGGTTCTGTCGGCTTGGGGAAAGCAATCAGTGTGGAGATCCTGTCAGGTTTGTACTAATTGTTGCTCCCCACCGTTTCATGCGTGCCTCTCGAGGGGCTGCCACGTCCGATGTGAGAAGCTTCCTGAGGCCGCCACGTCATGTAATGACAAACCAATCAAGTTATGTGGTTTAGGCAGGTCATTGTCCACGTGTTGAGAAGCGTTTAATCAGATGCGTCGTCGTTTGGGATTGATCTGTGTGAGTTCATTGTGCGGGTCGGGCCGTTGAAAGCGAGTGTGGTGTCGGTGGTGGGAATCGTTGAAGGTCCTCTCTGGTTTGCATTTGATTCCGCTTACCGGAAAGCGAGTGTGGTGTCGGTGGTGGGAATCGTTGAAGGTCCTTTGTGGTTTGCATTTGATTCCGCTTAATTCCCCTTCGAGTTTGTTTTTATTTTCCGGTTTTAATTGAAACGTCATTCTGCTTCTCTGCATTTGTTCGACTGAGTTCGGACGGTTAGCACGCCGCTGTTGTGGGGGAAACAATTTGTGTCGAGGTTCTGTCGGCTTGGGGAAAGCAATCAGTGTGGAGATCCTGTCAGGTTTGTACTAATTGTTGCTCCCCACCGTTTCATGCTTTGTAATGTTATGTTCTGAGTTCATCATTCCAGATAGTATGTTTGCCGGTTATGGGTTCTGGTTACTTTTTACAAGAGATGAACTGTTCGGTTTGTTTGTCCTATTTGAGTTGTGGTCGTGGACTGGTTTGCAATGTTTTTTTTTTGTTAGTAAAATGACAATTCAAGGTGCTTTTGTTGATTTGCTTTGCCGTTAGATAGCTAGCTTTGACAATGTGTTTATATTAATGATTTGAAAAGCAGAGAATGTGGTACAGCAGTAGATAATTTCTTAGCAAATGTGGTAGACTACGTCAACAAAGGCGAAGTGAGTTATATATCCCATATTATTTTGTTACAGTTGATGATGCCTACCTTTAATGACTAACATACCAGTTTTTCCCGGCAATCTCATAGGCACATTTTGTACGCCTCCAAATCGCAAAGGTAATGTACACAACACACTGGATTTGTAAACATACATAGAAAATACATGATCATTAGCAATCATTAATAAATGGTCACATTTCAAAAACAGACATATCCAGAGAAGCTAGAAAAAGGCGGTATGACATTCTAAAGGCTAAACGGAATATCCAAAAAACTACTAGCGCGATAAGACAAGGTAGACTAACATAATTCCATTGTCAAACTAGAATTTGTCCTAACCAACTTGATTCTTTGTACAGGATCAAAAAGAAAGCGACCAGAACGTGAGAACAACCTCACTGCTTGTAGCTATTGTGACGCTTTAGTCTGGCAGAAAGAGAGCAAAGAGAGGTCAAAAGATGGGAATCAGTTATATTCGATTTGCTGTTCAAAAGGAAGGGTTTCGCTACCACCTATACGAGAACCTCCCGAACAACTGAAAAAGCTTAAAGAATTACCTCATTTCAGAGAGAACATCAGAGTTTATAGTTCTCTGCAAGCATTTACTTCAATTGGAGCCAAAGTTGATCACTCACTGATGTCAGGAAAAGGACCTTTTGCATACAGAATCCAAGGCCAAGTCTACCACAGGCTAGGTTCTTTGATACCTCCTCAAGGAAAACCACCTAAATTCGGCCAGCTCTACGTTGTAGACACAAGGAATGAAGTCAAAAATCGCATAAACACAATGTCAAGAAACTCCAATTCGTCACAGCTCCAAGAAAACATTGTACAACAATTGATTGAAATGTTGGACCAACATAATTGGTTAGCTGGGGAGTTTAGAAAAGCAAGAGATAAATTTGAATCAAACAATCATGAAGAGTTCACCATACGTCTTCTTCGAGTCAAAGAGAAGGGAAGACAACATGATTTACCTACTGCTGATGAAACAGCTGGACTGATCGTAGGAAAGTTTGCGGAGAGAGATATAATTGTAGAATTCAAGACATCCCAGCTCCAACGTATCTCTTGCTTGCACCCACATTACATGGCTCTACAATACCCTCTTCTGTTCCCTTACGGAGAAAGTGGCTTCCATTTGAACATCCCATACGTCAGTGAACAGGGGAAGAAAATCTCCCGTGAAAATGTTACAATCCGCGAGTTCTATGCTTATCAGATTCAAACAAGATTGTCTGAGGGAAAGACAATTATCTCTGGAGGCCGTCTTTTTCATCAATACCTTGTCGACGCATACACATGTATAGAGGAAGAACGCCTCAAATTTCAAAGGCTTAACCAAAAGAAACTCAGAGCTGAGCTGTACAACAACATTCGAGACGCAGTCAACAAAGGAGACAGTGATGCTAAATCACTAGGAAAGAAAATCATCTTAGCTGCAACATTTACGGGAGGGCCTAGATACATGATAGAAAATTATCATGATGCAATGGCTATATGTCGAGCATACGGAAACCCACATCTGTTTATAACGATTACGGCTAATCCAGGATGGCAAGAAATCACAGAGCACTTGCGAACCTATGGAAACGACACTGCCAATGACAGGCCAGATATCAGCTGTCGAGTGTTCAAAATAAAATTAGACGAACTAATGTCAGATCTCAAGGATGGAACATTTTTTGGCCCGACACGAGCAGGTATCATATTATTATTTCTGTAAGAGTTTGTAAAATTTCATAGCTTGCATATGTAGTGTACTTATTTCAACTATTTTACAGTTGTCTACACCATAGAATTCCAAAAAAGAGGCCTACCCCATGCGCATATTCTCCTATGGCTAGAAAGAACAGAGGCAGACGTATCTCTGCTCCAAATAGACAACATCATTCAAGCTGAGTTACCTGACGAGAAAGAAGACCCTGAAGGATTTGAGTTGATAAAAAAACACATGATGCATGGGCCATGTGGTGTTGACCGGCCAACAAACTCCTGTATGGAAAACGGCAATTGTTCAAAAAAATACCCAAGGGCTTTTGTTTCAACAACAACTACAGACAAGGAAGGGTACCTCATCTACAGGCGTAGAGATATTGAGGGAAGATTTGTCATGAAAGGTTCAACAAAGCTGGACAACCGGTATGTCATTCCACATCATATGCCTTTATTAAAGAAATTCAAAGCGCATATTAATGTAGAGTGGTGTAACACTTCAAAGGCAATCAAGTATTTGTTTAAATACATCACAAAAGGAGTTGACAAAACAACGGTTGTTTTTCAAAACACCTCAAGTCAAGAACAGAGTAAATCAGCAGAGAAAGTAGAAATCGACGAGATCCAGAGTTACCAGGAATGTAGGTATCTGTCAGCTTGCGAAGCCGCTTGGAGAACGTTCGCTTTCGACATACACCATCAAACACCACCAGTCCAAAAGCTCACAATACATCTCGAAGGAGAACAAAGTGTGGTTGTTGATGAAGAAGATGATTTAACAGAGGTTGTTAGCAGATTTGGAGTGCACCAAACTATGTTCACGCAATGGATGGCAACAAACATTCGTGATCCAATTGCACGAACCCTCACCTATATTCAGTTCCCGAGATTCTTTATTTGGGATAAATCAGGGAGGACATGGTGCAGGCGACAAAGAGGATCCTCCATCGGCAGAATAACGAACATCAGTCCTTCCGCTGGGGAAAAGTATTACCTACGAATGATGATCAACCACGTCAAAGGAAGTCGAAGTTTCGAAGAGATAAGAACAGTCGCAGGCATAATATACAAAACTTACAAAGAAAGCTGTTACGCTTTAGGTCTACTGGACGGTGATAGAGAGTGGCACGAAGTCATGGTTGAAGCGTCGCAGTGGGCCACCGCTTGGCAGTTACGTGAGCTTTTTGTACTCCTATTACTGTATTGTGAAGTTGTAGATCCTCTGAAACTGTGGAATAATTGCTGGAGAAGTCTTGGTGAGGACATGCTTCGATTGCAACGCAGAAGACTGGGTTTCCAAGGTTTGAATCTAGATGATGACCAAATTCAGCAATATGTTTTGCTTGAATTGGAAAAGCTGCTTAGCTACAGTGACAAGTCATTGGCCGACTATACAGACATGCCAGTTCCTGAAAAAAACATCCTTGATAATTTGAAAAACAGTCTGATAACAGAAGAGAAAAACTACAGAGCAGATGACGAACAAAAGACACACAGCGAGCTGTATTCAACACTCAATTCAGACCAGCTATCAGTGTATGAAGCTGTTATGAATTCTATTAATAGCTCTACAGGGAAACTATTCTTTCTCTATGGTCCAGGAGGCACTGGGAAGACATATGTGTATCGTACATTGATTGCAAAACTACGTTCTCAAAAACGCATAGTCCTACCCGTTGCAACCTCAGGAATAGCTGCGACACTTATGCCTGGAGGAAGAACTGCTCATTCACGGTTTAAAATACCAATAGATCTCTATGATGATTCAATGTGTGAAATAAAGGCTAATACAATGCTTGCAGAGTTGATTCAAGAAGCAGCTTTGATCATCTGGGATGAAGCGCCAATGGCCCATCGCAATACTTTTGAAGCATTAGATCGCACACTAAGGGACATCATGAGATATGTGGATCCTACTGCAGCAGAGAAACAATTTGGTGGGAAAACGGTTCTTTTAGGAGGTGACTTCCGACAAGTTTTACCAGTCATTCCAAAAGGTACCAGACAAGATACGGTCTTAGCAACGCTCAACCGCTCTTATATGTGGGAAAATTGCACCGTTGGTATACTTTCTAAAAACATGAGAGTGAACCAGGATGAAAAAGAATTTGCTGATTGGTTGTTGAAAGTTGGGAACGGAGAAGCAAAAAGTGTTTTTCCATCAGAAGATGGTATGGAAGATGAACACATAGAGATCGACAAATCACTTTTGCTGCCTGGAAAAGAAGCGCCATTAGAAGAAATACAGAAAGCAACCTTCCCGGACCTTGAAACTGCTTTCACAAACCGAGAGTATTTACGGGTCAGAGCTATCCTTACCCCGAAAAATGAAACAGTCGATGAGATCAATAATTTTTTCTTAGACAAAATCAGTGGCGAGAAAAAAGAATACCTCAGTGCTGACACCATAGGAAGCGACGATAAAGATGTTGAGGGAGTTAACCTGCTCTACACCACAGAGTATCTAAACAACCTACGGGTTTCTGGCTTGCTAACATAAACTCGTCTTGAAGAAGCATGTTCCGGTTTTACTACTCAGAAAACATCAATCAAAAAGAAGGACTCTGCAATGGCACAAGAATGGTGATTACACGTCTCGGAGACAGGGTGCTCGAAGCTGAAATTTTAATCGGGAAGAACGCAGGGAAGAGAATCCTAATACCTAGGATAAACTTAACTACAGCGGATACCGAATGCCCATACAAGATGAGAAGAAGACAATTCCCTATCAGAGTTTGCTACGCTATGACAATTAACAAGAGCCAAGGCCAAAGCTTGCAACACGTGGGAATTTACCTGCCTAAACCAGTTTTTGCTCATGGACTGCTCTACGTTGCTCTCTCCAGAGTAACATCGAAAGAGGGATTGCATATTTGGAGCGAAGCAGAGCATAAAAAAGAAAAGCAAGGAGTCAAAAATGTCGTCTACAAAGAAATCTTCAACAACATAACCAGGCAGCAAACCAGTAAGTCTAATTCAAGGATATGTAGACATAAAAAAAAATCAACTCTGGAAAAAAGTACTTATATACTATACACTTGCAGGTGAAAAGAACCAAGACCAACAATGAAACATGAAGCAACTGGAAAACGACGATGGATGACATCAAGGAAAAACCCAACAGAAGCATGAAATAGTATTTATATATTAATGTATTACTCCGATATGAACATGTACTTTATCAAGTAGGAAAAAACGTAGAGAAGCTCTTTTTATATCCTGAAAACCATGAAATTTCATTCATTCTCAGACAAAATGAAAAACAAAATAACAACCACCCGAATAGGAAATCAATTTAATGAATAAAAAAATTAAAATGACGTACCAATTCTAGAAATGAAATAAGCATATGAATTGGAATGTGCATTAGCAAGCCTCAAAATACAAAAAAAGAAACCTTCTTATTCTTGATCCAAACAGATTCTACGGGTCAAACAAAAGTAAAGATTAATCCAATACATTCATTGGAACGCAATGAATCTAAAAAATTGAAAAGACAAAAAAACGAATTACAAGAAGACCCTGAGACACTATAAAAACTCACTGAAACAATTGCCTTGAAACATAACTCCACTTTCACATAAAAAACAAGCAAAGGCTACGAAATGTATATCTGGAATAAACAGCAGAAGATCTGGAGGAAGATAGAGAACACAACGAAAACCGGAGAGCTATATTACCTGAGGAAATTGGTTTCGGAAGCCTATGGATGCTCAAGTTTCGAAGAGCTACGAACAATTCAAGGAGTAACATATCCAACATACAAAGAGAGTTACAACGCCACAAGAATCTCCGCTGCAACATCCACTGTTCAAACAGCAGAAGAACCGTCATAAAAGGTGATGAAATTCTCTTATACTAAGTGTTATATCCAATTTACGGTAATAAAATCAACCAAAGAAATCAAAAATGCAGGAACCCAAAATTTCAAGCACCGACAAGAAAAAATCACAACTCGATTTTGTAATTTTCCAGTTAAAAATGAATAATCATGAATAATAAATTCAGAAAACTCGAAAAACCATTATGCTAAAGTCATACCAGCTTCTCAGTGTATTGGGCTTTAATGGGCCAAATGAGGAACAACATTTATATAGAGATACCACCCGCGGCGTAGCGCGGGTCTCGCCCTAGTAACTCTTATAATAGAAAGAGAGTTATAATTTTAATTTCCAAAATGTATGGAAATTATAATTATAATAATTTTAGAGATTGAGTGTATAAACGAATCGATGAAAAGACGGGTAATTTCTCGGATGCGTTTATAGAAGGAGTGTTGCAAATAATCAGACTATACCACAAAGCAATGGTGGTAATTTTTTCTGCCCTTGTAGTGTATGCAAAAACAACAAATTTTTGTTGGGGAGAAAAATTTGGAATCATCTATACAGTAAAAGGTTCATGCCAGATTATTATGTTTGGTATAAGCATGGGGAAGAAATCACTATGGATTATGGAACTAGTTATAGTAACACTCAGTTAAGTGGGAGTGAAGAAAAAATGGATAATATAGTTGAAGATAGATATGTGGATATGGTGAATCACTACAAGAAAACAATCATTTTCCAATGGTCCATTACGACGGTTTAAAAATCGTCGCAAACTTACAACGATTGTACGACGATTTTACGTCAAACCAAAAAAACGTCGTAAAACCATCGTACAAAAAAATCGTCGTAACTGCGACGTATAATTTACGACGAATTACGACAATTATACATCGATAACGAGAGATTTGATATTAATTGCAAAATCGTCGTAAATTAGATGTAACATTACGACGAATATACGACGACCTGTATTTGATGTACACTTACGACGATTTTACGTCGATAAAGAAGTTAGGTGAAGAACATTTAAAACATGTTTACCTAACTAATGTCGATGAAATATTTTATCGCATAATCGACGTAAAATCGTCGTAATATTATTGTTGAATGTAAAAGCGATGTAAAAAATCATCGTAAAAGCGTCGTAAAGCCCGAAATTTTGTTATAGATAGATCTTCATTCCTTCTTTCATTCACAATACATCATCATTCAAACATAAGAGCATCATCATCCTGGAGACCCATTGTAGGTCTCTTAAACCTTAGTATAGTGTTGCAAATCCTGATATATTGGGTTTTCCATTGCTGGAAACCCGAATTAGTAGTTATTTCTTTGAAAAAAAGAAGTAATAATATTAAAAGGTTTACTCCATTCACGTGGCTAGACATGATACAAGAGACCGGCTCTTTTATTGTCTAATCAATAAAAAGAGATAGTATTTTGAGTTTATTTCAAGATGTCTATATACGAGCTAAGAAGCTGGATGTATATGCGTAAAGATTCAGATGGGGCGTTGACAGAAGAGTTCAAGAACGGGTTAGAAATATTTATGTATCAGGCTACAAATATAGAGAGAACGAAAGATAGCGGGAAGATGTTTTGTCCTTGTTTAAAATGCAAGAATACGAGGTATACACTAACCAAAACCGTGTGGACGCATTTAATAAATAGAGGGTTTATGCCGCAATATTTTGTTTGGTATCTACATGGAGAAGATATGAAAGTAATACTCATGGGAATGCTGGTAATAGTAGTAATTATCAAAGTCATGTTGATTTTGATGAATCGAATTATGGTCATCAGCCTAATCAATATCAATCTGATCAAAGTCTAGATCATGATAGGATGCATGAGATGGTGACTGATGCATTTCATGAAACGCATACTGGTAATGCTGGTAATACTGGTAACGATTTTATAATTTGTTAGACAATGCTAATCAGCCAATCTACGAAGGATGTAGAGAAGGCCTGTCTAAATTATCGTTGGCAGCTAGGATGATGTCAATTAAAACAGATCATAACCTGGCTGAGGTTTGCATGGATGATTGGGCCGATCTTCTGAAAGAGTATCTATCGGAGGATAACTTGGCAGCGGCAACATACTATGAAATACAGAAGTTGATTTTTAGTCTTGGTCTACCTTCTGAGATGATAGATGTATGTGTTGACAATTGTATGATTTTTTGGAAAGATGATGATCAGCTGGAGGAATGTCGATTTTGCCAAAAACCAAGATACAGGCCGTAAACTGGTGGGCGTAAAAGGATACCCTACCAACGTATGTGGTATCTCCCTATAACTGATAGGTTAAAACGGCTTATCAATCTGAAAGGACAGCTGCATCAATGAGATGGCATGCCGAACATACACAAGTAGATGGAGAAGTTGTTCATCCATGAGATGCAAAGGCATGGAAACACTTCAATATGGTATACCTAGATTTTGCTAAGTTCAAACGGAATGTCTATCTTGGTCTGTGCACTGATGGTTTTAGTCCATTTGGTATGTCTGGTAGACAATATTCATTATGGCCAGTAATCCTAACTCCTTATAACCTTCCTCCAGATTTGTGCATACATAGGGAATTTCTTTTCCTAAGTATTTTGGTTCCAGGTCCCAATCATCCAAAGCGAGCTCTTGATGTATTTCTGCAGCCACTCATACATGAGTTGAATCAGTTATGGTATACCGGTGTTCGCACATATGACTGTTCTACGGGCAAAAATTTTACTATGCGGGCTGTGCTTATGTAGACAATAAGCGATTTCCCCGCTTATGGTATGCTATCAGGATAGACTACACATGGGAGGTTATCTTGTTCTTATTGTCTTCATCGAACTGATGCGTTTCAGCTAAAACATGGTAGAAAAACTTGTTGGTTTGATTGTCACCGGAGGTTTTTACCAGATAACCATCCATATCGGAGGAACAAGAGGTTATTTATGAAGAACAAAAGTGTACATGTCCCTCCACCCGTAAATTTAACAGGAGCTGATATACATGCGCAAATCGAGCATTGGGGGGCAGAGGAAACAGTAACGCGTGGGGGAAACTGTCACATTCCTGCAAATATGCCTGAAGGTTATGGAGTTCATCATAATTGGCACAAGAAAAGTATCTTTTGGCAACTACCCTATTAGAAAGATCATCTGCTCAGACACAATCTTGATGTCATGCACATTGAAAAAAACTTTTTTGATAACATCATGCATACAGTTATGAACGTAGCGGAAAGAACAAAAGACAATGGTAAGTCAAGATTGGACTTGCTTGATTTATGCAACAGAAGTGAGTTGCATATACTGAGAAACGGGAAAGCACCAGTTCCTGTATTTCGGTTGAGTGCAGATCAAAAGTCAGCATTGTTCAGATGGGTTTCTCCTGACGTTAAATTTCCTGATGGGTATGTTTCTAATCTTTCTAAATCTGTTGAGAAGGGGGTAAAGTTTTCAGGGATGAAAAGCCATGACTGCCACGTGTTTATGCAACGATTATTTCCATTTGCATTTTCTGAACTCTTGCCCAAAAATGTCCATGAAGCTATTGGAGGCATTGGTGCTTTTTTCGGGATCTTAGTACACGAACATTATC